TCTGCAAATAATATCAACTTTTTAGTTTTATTTCTTCCTTTCCAATATCTATACTGTTTATTTCCTTTTCTTGCACTTTATTTCACTCACTAGAACTTACAGTAGAAAGAAAAATAAAAGTGATGGTGGTGGTTATCCTAGTCATCTGGATTTCAGGGAGAAAACTTCTGATAGTTTGTCTTTGAGTATGATAACTGTTTCAGGATTCTTTTTTTAAAGAATACTCTTTTTTAAAAAATATATTTTATTGATCATGCTATTACAGTTCTATTTTTTTCTCCCCTTTATTCCTCTCTGCCCTGTACCCACCCTCCCACTAGCATTCCCCCACCTTAGTTCATGTCCATGGGTCATACATATAAGTTCTTTGGTTTCTCAATTTCCCATACTATTCTTAGCCTCCCCCATTCTATTTTGAACCTACCATTTATGCCTCTTATTCCTTTTACCTGTTACTCCATTCTCCCTCACCCCCTCCCCACTGATAACCCTCCACGTGGCCTCCATTTGTGTGATTCTGTTCCTGTTCTAGTGGTTTGCTTCACTTGCTTGTTTTTGTTTTTTAGATTTGGTTGTTGATAGTTGTGAGTTTGTTGTCATTTTACTGTTCACAGTTTTGTTTTTCTTCCTTTTTCTTAGGTAAGTCCCTTTAACATTTCATATATTAAGGGCTTGGTGATGAGAAACTCCTTTAACTTGACCTTATCTGGGAAGGACTTTATCTGCCCTTCCATTCTAAATGATAGCTTTGCTGGACAGAGTAATCTTGGATGTAGGTCCTTGCCTTTCATGACTTCGGGTACTTCTTTCTAGCCCCTTCTTGCCTGCAAAGTTTTTGAGAAATCACCTGATAGTCCTATGGGAACTCCTTTGTAGGTAACTGTCTCCTTTTTCTCTAGCTGCTTTTAAGATTCTCTCCTCATCTTTAATCTTGAGTAATATAAATATGATGTGCCTTGGTGTGTGCTTCCTTGAGTCCAACTTCTTTGGGACTCTGAGCTTCCTGAACTTCCTGGAAGTCTATCTCCTTCACCAGATTGGGTAAGTTTTCCTTTATTATTTGTTAAATAAGTTTTCAATTTCTTGCTGTTGTTCTCTTTCAGGCACCCCTACAACTTGGATGTTGGAAAGTTTAAAGTTGTCCTGGAGCTTCCTATGCCTTTCCTAGTTTTTTCTGAATTCTTATTTCTTCCTTCTGTTCTGCTTGAACGTTTCTTCCTTCTCCAAATCATTGATTTCAGTCCTGGTTTCCTTTGCTGTTGGTTCCCTGTACATTTTCCCGTATATCAGTTTTCATAGCCTTCCTCTGTTTTGCAACCATACTCAATCATTTTTGTGAGCATCTGATTACCAGTATTTTGAAATCTGCATCTGGCAGGTTGGCTGTCTCCTCTTCACTTAGTTCTTTTTTTTCTGGTTTTGATCTGTTCTTTCATTTGGGCCATATTTTTTTTTTGTCTTGGCCACCTGTTACATAGTAAGGGGCAGGGCTTACGTATTTACAAGGGTAGGGTAACCCAAGTCACTGTGTTGTCTCACTGTATTGGGGGAGGGGTCCCAGAGGGAACAATGCCACTTGCTCAGCTCTCAGCAACTTTCAGTCCCTTCCTCCCATACCCATTAGCATATTGGGCCCTTCCAGTGCTGATTCCCAAGTGGGTGGTTTTATGTACATTCTAGGACCTTGTGGGTCTCTCCAATGAACTCTCCTGTGAGGCTTGGAGTTTCTCCTGCCACCTCAACCCCCACCAGTTTTTTTTTAGTCAGAGGTTTTGAGGCTTTATTTCCCTGCTCTGGAACCCTAGGATGCATGGCCTGACTGGATTCCCCGTTGTTCCTCCTGGTTTATCTGGACGCAAATGTGGGAACACTGGTTCACCAACCACCACCTCACCCGCCCCAGTCTTCCAGCTGCTGCCTTGCTGCGAGTCCTCTCCACCCTGGCTGCCCGTCTCCTCCCATCCTACTGATCTGGATGAATGTTTTTTCTTAACTTCTTGGTTGTCAGACTTTCATACAGTTCAATTTTCTGGCATGTCTGATAATTTTTTGTTTTTAAAGTTGTCCTTCTTTTGGCTGTTTAAGGTGGCAAAGGGTATCTACCTATGCCTCCATGTTGGCCAGAAGTCCCTGGATTCTTGCAGATACTCTTTATCAGACTGAAAGATTTTCCTTGTAATTCCAGTTTAGTTTGTTGATTATCATGAATACGCACTAAATTTCCTCAATTGTTTGCATCTACAAAGATTACTATTTGATTTTCCTCATATATTTAGCTAAGGTGGTGAATTACATAGACTGCTTTTCAAATATTAAATAACCTTGCATTTGAGAATAAATCTAACACAGTCATCATGTGTATCATATTTATGTATCTGTACATTTGATTTGCTAAATATTTTATTCTTTATTAAGAGGAACTGTAATGTAATTTTCCTTCCTCATAACATTCTTAGTGTTGCTATCCAACTTATGCTGACTTCGTAAAATGAGGTAGGAGTGTTTCTTCCTTTTCTATTCTTTGGCAGAGTTTATATTAAATTGGTTGTATTTCTTCCTTAAACGTTTGGGAGAATTCAGCAACAAAATCATTTAGGCATGAAAATTTCATTAAGAGAAGGTTTTAAATTACAGATTCAATATCTTAAATACACATGGAACTATTCAGATTTTCCATAATTCTTGTATAATGGTGTTTTCTTAGGATATTGTTAATTTATTCTAAATTTCCAATTATTTTGGCATTAATTCATAATACCACATTTAATAACCTCTAATATTGTTATCTGTATGATCTACAGTAACGCTCTCTCTTTTTATTCTTGATATTGGTAATTTGTGCCATCTCTGTCTTGATCTGTACTACGGTTCTTATTTTTACTCTTCAAAGAATCAATTTTTGGTTTTTGTCAACATTATTATCAGTTTCATGTAGTGATCCTCAACTCAGTAATCTAGCCAACTTCTGTTATTACTTTTAGCAGTGTGTCTTTTGGGGTATAGTCAGACTTTTGATTACCTATTGAACTTTATGGTTATTGGTTTATTCGGGTTTCCAAATTTTCTGGAGCCAATTTTGGTAATTAATAACTTTATAGAAAATTATACATTTGATTTAAGTTTTCAAATTTATTGTCGAAGTTTTAGGTAATATTTTCTTGTGATTTAAGTTATACTTTCTTTGTTGTTCTGAATACTATTTATCTTTTTTATTTTTCTTCATTACTATTACTAGAGGTCTGTTTATCTGGGTTTTGTTTTTGCTCCTATCTAATTATTCTTTATCTTCCATTTCACTTATGACTGTCCTTGTCTTTAATTTTTTCTTCCCTATACATTCTCTTTTAGAGATATGAACTATTTTATTTTTTAAAAAGATTTTACTTATTTACTTTTTAGAGAGGGAAAGGAAGGGAGAGAAACGTCAATGTGTGTGGTTGCCTCTTGCATACTCCCTACTGGGGACCTGGGTTGCAACCCAGGCATGTGCCCTAGAGTGGGAATCAAACTGATGACCCTTTGATTCCCAGACCAGCACTCAACCACTGAGTCACACCAGCCAGGGCTCCCCTCTACATTCTTTAGGTGATTCTTTTTCTCTAAAGCCAGATTATCTGAGACCTAATCTCAACTCGGCTATTTACTAGCTAAGTACTCTTGGAACTGTCATGAAATGTTCTAGGGTCTGTTTCCAATCTGTGAAATGGGAATAATGATAGTACTTACACATGGGTTTGTTATGAGTTTCTATATACAGTTTAGAACAGCAACTGGTACATATTAACTACTCTAATGTTAGCTATTCTTAGTATTGCCATCATTAGCAGCAGTAGTACAACTACTACCACCACTTCTATTATTACTACTACTATTTTTTAGTTGAATTCAACTCATTTGATTTTTAGATATTTTTCTTAGTGCTTTCAAAGTTATAAACTTAACTATAATTACTACTTCAGAGGTATCCTTCACATTTTGATATATATGTGTGGTATTTATATTATTGTTCAGTCTGTAAATTTTGAAATGCCCATTAGAAATCCCTCCCAATAAGTTATTGAGGATTGAATTTTTTAAGTTTATAATGTAGAAGTTTTAAAACAATGTTCATGATATAAATTGCTTGAAATTTACTAAGATTACCTGTGACCTAGTATCATGCCAATTTATGAAATTATTCCATACGTACCTGAAAAATGTTTTCTCTTTATTAAGGATGTATAGACATTTATATACTTGAATAAACTTGATAATTTTTGCCTCAAAGTTTATATAGTCTTGGCTTTTTATAAATGAAGTATATTAAAATATTTCACATTAATCATGTAGTTGTCAATTACTTCTTGACATTGTGTCAGTTTTTTTTCTCTATTTACTAGATGTTTTTCAATGATTATTTCCTCTTCAGAGTAGACAGTCTCTCTTGTTATTAGGGATTATCCTTTCATTTTTTCTTTTTTCACTTAAAATCTATTTTTCATCTGTTAATACTTTACAACAGGTTTGTTTTAATTAATTTTCACCAAGAAATATCTTTTAAAAATTATGCTGAACTCCACATTACATAAAATGTCCATCTTAACCATTTTTAAGTGTATAGTTCAGTGGCATTAAATACATTAGCACTGCTGTGCAGCAATCACCACCATCCATGTCCAGAACTTTTCCATCTTCCCAAATTGAAATCTGTATTCATTAAATAATAACTCTCCTTTCCCACAAATCCCCTGGCAACCACCACTTACTTTTAGTCTCTATGAATTTGACTACTCTAGGTACCTCCTATAAGTGGAATCTTAAAAGTATTTGTCCTTTTATAACTGGTTTATTTCACTTAGCACAGTAACTTCTATGTTGTACTGCATGTCCACATTCCCTTCCTATTTACTTTTATTTAATCTTTATTGTATTTTTTCCATTACCACTTAGTACCCTTACACTCCCCCACCCAGCAATCACCACACTGTTGTCCATGTCCATGAGCCTCTTCTTTTTTGCTCAAAAATATGTTATGCTTCATCAATTTGCATGTCATCCTCGGGCAGGGACCATGCTAATCTTCTCAGTATCATTCCAATTTTAGTATATATGCTGCCAAAGCAAGCACTTTCCTTCCTTTTTAAGGGTCAATAATATTCCATTGTGCACATGTACCACATTTTGTTTATGCATTCATTCGTTGATAAATACTTGGGCTGCTTCCACCTTTGGCAACTGTAAACAATGATGTAATGACTAATGAGTATATAAATATCTATTCAAGTACCTGTTTTCAATTCTTTTGGGTATATACCCAGAAGTAAGAAATATCTTCTATAGTTCTTTTATTTTTACATTTTCTACATGTATGTATTTAAGATTAAGTTGTAAATACCAGGTACTATAGCTAAGTTTTTGTGCCCTTTTACTGTCTGTTTTTAAAGAGATAACTTTAATCTATTTATATTTACGGGTTTTTTTGTAGTATTTGATACTTTATTTCTTTGATTCTACTGTTTAGACTCCCTTCTTTGTTTTTTCTTCCTTTCTTTCAATATTATCTTCTCGTCCTCTTCTATCCACTGTTGGATGAAAGCAGTAGATTGTATTTCAATTATTTTAGTGATTATCCTTAAATTTGAAATACAGCTACTTCATAAATTTTTCTAACAAAATCTCAAAGTATTCAGTATTTCTGTCCTCTTTCTACACAAGACACAAATCTTCTCATTTTATCTTTGAATACCCTACCTTTTATTATTACTTGGTATTGTTTTTGCTGTCTTAACACAAAAATAGTTTTTTAACAAATTAAATTTACCAATGGCTTTGATCGACTTGAGTTCCCATTATTTTGTCACTGTTACTATCCCTCTTCAATTTTCTTTTTACTAAAGAATAATCTTTACCCTTCTTTCATTGAGGGTCTATCAGAGGTAAACTCAGCCTTTTGTAACTGAGTATGTCTTCTTTTGCCCTTGTTTTCTTCATTATCTGGCATAAGATTCTATTTTGGTTAATTATTTTCTAATTATCACGTGAAGATATTAATCATTTATCTTTTGGCATTTGATTTGCTGATAAAAAGTCTGCTTTGAATGTAATTGTCAGTCCCTGGAAATAATCTGTATTTTCTGGCATCATTTACATTTTTTCCTTAATTTTTAGATACTCTGATGTTTTCTTACAATGCTTAAAAGCAAAGATTTTCTTCATATATCCTACTTGACACTCAGCAGGCACATTTTATCTGAGAACTAATGTCTTTCTTCAATTGTAGAAAATTCTGAGCTCTTTAAATACTCCAAAATTCTTTTCAAGAATTGATTATTCCCTCCATTCTCTACCTGAAACTCCTATCAGACATACATATTCTGTTTCTCTTAACATCTGTCATATATATGATATATATTTGCTTCTAAATCCATCTGTCATCTGTCTCTGTCACTCTGTGCTATATTCTGATATCTCAATACAAGCTTCCAAATCACTTTAGTCAACTATGTCCATGGTCTACCATCTCAGACACTGATTTTCTATTTCAATGATTGTATTTCTCATCTCTAAAATGTATATCTCCTCTCATCTCTAAAATGTATATCTCCTCTCATCTCTAAAATGTATAAAAATGATTTTTATATCTCCTGTTTTTTATTCCTGCCTGTTTCTTAAATTTTTTTGAGAAGGTTATGCCTTTATCTATCTCTTTGAGCACCCTTAAACATATTTATAGTAGAGTGTTACATAAAATTATTTTCATGTTTCAATTCTTGATATGTTGGCTATCTCTCTTAGCATTAATATTTCTCATAGTTTTAAAGTTTTGGTTTGCTGACTAATTTTCAGTGTGTGGGGGTATTTGTGGGTTTTTTTCTCTTTTTCCCTTCTCTGTGTTCACTCTTATTATCTAGTCATTTTACTTTATTTTTTTATATATTGATTTTAGAGAGAGGGAAGAAGGGGAGAAAGAGAGAGAAACCTCAATTTGTTCCACTTATTTCTGCATTCATTGGTTTGCTTCTTGTATGTGGTCTGATCAGAGACTAAACCCACAACCTTGGTGTATTGGATGGCACTCTAACCAGATGAGTACCTAGTCAGGGTTTATCTAGTGGTCATTTTAAAGATGCTTTCACCCAGTTACACAGTCTAGGGTGAGCTTTTACAATCACATTTCAGAGTTTCTTTTCCATGATAATATTGGAGATACCACAGATTCAGTATAGAACCAATGGTGGTGTAATTTAGTGCATGGTCACAGGGCTGTGATTTTAAGTTCTAACTCCTTAAGCCTTCAGGTTGCTAAACATTGTAGTCCTCAATGGCAGTCAGCAACAGCTGTATTTTCTGTATGTTCTGCCAAGTGAGATGGGGCAATAATCAGGTCCTGGCTTTAAGTAATAAGCCTGTTACCATTATAAGTGGGTCCAATTTATTCTTATTTATTTGGCTCTTCATAGACAAATTCCTGGAAACGTGCATCTCCAGACCTGGAAACTAATAGGTCCAATTATTCAAATCTTTTCATTATTCTAATATTTTTGTACCATTTCTTGACCACAGAAATGTTTAGCATGTTTTTAAGATTATCAATATCCTTTCAGTTCTCTCTTTCTCACATTTTGTCTATCACTATATGTGTGAGCAGAGTGGATATGACAAAAGTGAACTTACAATAAGCCATTTGAACCAGAGGTTGAAAATATTTTTTAAAATCTATATATTAAAAAAAAAATTGGCCCTGGCCAGGCAGCTCAGTTGATTAGAGCATCATACACCAACATTAGGGGTTTGATCCCCAGTTAGGAAACGTACAAGAAACAACCAACGGATGTATAATTAAGTGGAATAACAAACTGGTGTTTCTGTCTCTAGCTCTCTCCCCGCCCCCCCGCTCCCTTTAAAATCAATAAAAATTTTTTAAAAACCCTGAACAGCATGGCTCAGTTGCTCGGGCATTGTCCCGAAAACCAAAAGGTCATTGCTTTGATTCCTGACTAGGGCACATGCCTGGGTTGCAGGTCTGTCCCTAGTTAGGGCATGTGCTAAAGGAAGCTGATAAATGTTTCTCTCCCTTTCTTCCTTCCTTCCCTTCTCTTTAAAAATAAGTAAACAAAATCTTTTAAAAATGTTTTAAAAAGAAAATCATGTACTCAATGATCACTAGCTTGTCTCTCCAACACTGTTCAGAAGAATCATTAACCACAGTTAAATAAATAAATCCCCGATGCTGCTCACCCTGGAGAATGCTATATAGAAAAGTCCCTATGAGATCAGCCTGATCAATAATAACCACCTACAATTTGGAGTAACTGTCCTTGTGACATTCAGTATGGGGCTGACATTTGAAATGAACCATTTTTTCTATTCAAGGCAACTAGATATGTAGACTATGTCCTTCTTACCTGAAAAACAGGTGGGAAGTCCATGGGTTTTCAATTTCAACTACTTTGGACAGTGTCTATTTTTTCAAAATATGCCTCCAGGATACTTTAAACTAAGTATCCCTCAAACTATATTTTGCGTCACCATATAGCCTACATTCTGCATTTTATTTAATTTTTTCAAATTCTCACCCAAGGGTATGTTTTTATTAATTTTAGAGAGAGAGGAAGGGGGGAGAGAGATAGAGAAACATTGATATGAGAAAGAAACAATTATCAGGTGTCTCCCGTACATACCCGGACAGGGGATGGAACCCACCACCTAGGTATGTGCCCTGAGAGGGAATCAAACCGGCAACTTTTTAGTGCATGGGTGACACTCCAACCAAGTGAGGCTCCCAGCCAGGGCCTACATTCTACATTTTAAATTAAACCAAGCCATATATATCTTCCAAATACAGCAAAACATGCCAAAAATTATCTAGCCATTTATACAAGATGTGGCAATACAAAGTTAAATTTATGAAAAAGTGCACATCTTTATAATATATCAATATGATATATAATCTATAAAACCAAAGTACTGAATTTAAAACTGCCAAAAGATTTGTGATGATCACTGTGTACAGTAAGTTTTTTGCCCCCATATGTAATAATCAGTACTTTCAATAAAATTCTCAGCTGTGGCCGGGTAGCTCAGTTGCTTTGTGCATCATCCTCATCAGCCACGGTTGCAAGTTTGATCCCTAGTCAGGGCACATACAAGAACCAACCAGTAAATGCATAAATAAGTGAAACATCAAATCACTGTTTCTCTCCTCTCCTCTCTCTCTCAAATAAATAAATAAAAATTAAAAAAATAAGATTTTCAACTTGATCCAACACCATAACATTTTGTATGTACAGAATCAAGTGCTTTTACATTCATCACCTACTTACATTTCTACTATCATTTCCATGTGTTGATCTCTCCATATATCTAGTCTCTAGATGAAATAAAGTCAGATGAAGATAAAGACTAAAGCCATAGCTGTACTGTCTCCATAATGTAAAAGCAGTCAAGTAGGACAGAAAAAGAGACTCACATACCCAGACTCCACTATTCCACTTTGTATTTTCCATCTATCAGTAAGGTGTCATGATGATAAGTGTTTTGGCAATTTTAGTGTAGTACCTTTTCTCTTAAGACCACAATTTCCTCAATTGCCATTTTTCTATATCACTTCTCAGTCTGATGCTGTTTAGTGCTAAATTTCAGTTAATATTTCCCTCTGAGGCTCCATATAACTTCATGTATCTTTCTATACTGCCATGGATTCCAAATAGCTAAGCCCCTGCCCCAGAGCTAGAACAAGGTTTCTCTTGTATAGTCTCATGCTGTAGAAAGGAGCCACAAATTTGAATGTCTACAAGAATCAAACAAGTAAGATAAATTGATGTGTTATGTCAGAGCTGGGTTCTAAGAAATGGGATGACAGGGCAAGTCTCTATGCCCAAAGCCTGGACATTTCTATAACCCTCTATTGCCCTAATGAAGAAACAGTCTTATTCCTTATCTGCCACTCCAAAGGTTCTTTTACTTATTTTAAATACAGAAGGAAAAATAAAGTGAACAATTAAAACCATAGAGAAAAAAGAAGAAAATCAGAATAAAATGGCAAGATATTCTTAAAAGACAGTAAAAAAGGAAGATATAATATATTAAAACTAAGGTATACCACAAAACAACAGAGGAAAAATTGTG